ATTCTATGATTCTATGATTGAAGATCACTTCTTATTATTGAAACACATGAAATGGATCATACTGAGAATACCTTATTCTTACTACATTACTCCTGAACTGAAGACAGTAACTGCACAGAATAGGAGTTAAGCAAACAATTTAATGTAATGAGAGCTTTACAAAAGAAAACAGCAGTCATATATATTGTGAAAAACAAGAACTTGAAGCATACGAAACAGTTAACACTATGGATTTGTCAACAGCTCCTCAAAATTAACATGAGGTTTACATTCTGTTAGGGCTTACAAAATGCTATTCATAGTAGTTAAACATAACAAAACCCAACAGCTGCTTGTTTGACAGATGGATAGCTACAAGATACCCAAGCCTGCAGCATTTAGCTTAACACAGAAAATGATCTTATCTGCATATATCCCATCAAGTTCTACGAGCAGTTTGTAGAGTTCTATCTGGAAAGAAGGATCTGAAGCAGCAGCTCAACAGAAAGCAAGGGTAGACATATAAAAGAGAACTTACACAACACACAAGACTTCCAGACTCTCAAGGGAATTCATGAAGTTTCTGCAAGACTGAAATTTATTGCCCATTTACAAAGAACAAATGGTAATTACAAGACAAATAAAATAATTAAACATAAAAGCTCTGGAATTGTACAAAGATACTAATTTCTCATGGTTGAGATGCATTGTTAAAAACAACAGTGCTAGCTGAAGGGACCTTTGCAACAACGCAGTGTAACCTCCTGCAGTTACAAGGGAACATGACTGAACAGGTAAGACACAGATTCACCATTGTGTGTTCTTCTAATTGCCTCAGCCAGGATCATGGAAATGTCAATAAACTGAAAGAAAAATTAAGATGATAAGTTTTATGGCATGCCAGGAGCAATGAACTGTACCACTTAGAAGCATATGAACTAACATTCAATTTATCATTGTGCTCTCTTACCTCTTCTAGGAATTAAATTAACATTAAAGCATTAGGTATGTAACTAATACGTAAGAACTGCATTAATAGAAACTCAAAAGTTGAGTAAACAAGCATTGAATAAGATTGCCACACAGGCATGCTGCTGAGACTCCCGACATAGGGCATGCTGTCAAAAAAACTATTCCAGCCATCAGATGGCAGTGTCCACTGGACACAAATACAGTTTAAGGGAAGTATACTTTTTAAGGTTTCAACAAATACCAAATAAATCTTAAGCACTTTAAAAAAAAAAAAAGAAGTTTCTGTGGCATCCACAGTAACATTGCTAACTTGAGCTCCTACATACAAATATTGTATGATTAATATTAATTGAAAAAATATAACAAAAAAGTAAACAAACTAAAAACCCAGCCAGTTTTACATTTGCCACTCTTTCACAGATACACACACTTGATTTGTTACAAATACCAAATATTTGCAATATTCTATTGTACTACCCGAATCCCCTTAAAACAGTTCATAGGCATGTTTAAGCAAGATGTTCTGCAAACAATGTATTTTAGAGTACTATTTTGCTCTCAGGGCATAAATTCTAGCATCAGTGAACAGTAAAATACAAATCCAGAGTTTAAATAGATGACACAAACACCACCATACCTGAATTTTTGGGCAGTGTTTCATTTTCTCTTCTTGGGGGATTGTATTAGTTACTACAACAGCCTCAAACGATGCATTATTAATCCGAGAAATAGCAGGACCAGAAAAGATGCCATGTGTAAGAATGGCATAAACTTTAGTAGCTCCGGCAGATACTAACCTGTAGAACATGAAGGAAAATTATACTGTCACACCTGTTTACATACATGACTACAGATGAAGCCAGATACAAACCTCTGCAAAATCCACTTTACACACAAATTCCTCCTGGAAACTATAGGAATATACAAATATCTACAAATTAATTCCGAGAATTTAAAACTTCCAGCTGAATACTGGTACAAGTTTTCTATCTTAATCAGGCAAAACCGAAACAGGTTTGATGGCAGTATTCACAACTCTATTGTGCCTCCCTTATTGTCCACCTTTGTTTTCATTTGCAATTCAAACAATTCTGCTTGGAAAGAGTTTGAGGAAGAAGAAATGTTAATAATTAAAAGCCTAGTTTACTGCAGGATTGTGGGAAAACATGTTGTTAATCCAAGCACAGAGTGAAATGCAGCACAGGATTAAAAAAAAAGCCTATGTCCAAGAATCAGAACACCTTGTGGATGAGTAAGTGTCTCTTAACTTGGTTTTGACCATGCTCTCTGCCTCCAGATGCTCAGCTATGTCCTAGCTGCTTTTCTAGTCTTGCAAATGGAGGCCCCAAAGAGTGGTATTTTATCAGACCACAGCGTAAGCACAGCAAGATAGGGGGAATAAAAACAAATCTAACTGTCCTGGGTTCAGCTACATCAGTCATTTTTTCTCCTTCTTCGTAGCTGGTGCAGTGCTGTGGTTTTGACTTTCAGCCTGGGAACAACGCTGATAACACCGATGTTTTTAGTTGTTGCTAAGTAGTGTTTACTCTGATCAAGGACTTTCTCAGTCTCATGCTCTGCCAGGGAGGAGGGGAAGCCGGGAGGAAGCAGAGACAGGACACCTGACCCAAACTGGCCAAAGGGGTATTCCATACCACAGCACATCATGCCCAGTAGAAACTGGGGGGAGTTACCTAGTAGGCCCAGATCGCTGCTCGGGCTGGGCTAGGCTTCGGTCAGTGAGTGGTGAGCAATTGTATCCTCTCCCCTTGTTATTTCCCTTATCATTATTATTGGTGGTAGCAGTAGTGGTTTTCTATTATACCTTAGTTACTGGACTGTTCTTATCTCAACCCGTGGGAGTTACATTCCTCCGATTTTCCTCCCTATCCCTCCAGGAGAGGGGGAGGAAGAAGCGGAGGAGTGAGCGAGCAGCTGCGTGGTTCCAAGTTACTGGCTGGGTTACCACGCCACCAACCCAAACACCACACACACAACCCAACCCAACAAACAAAAAAACCAAAAAAACAAACCAACCAACCAAACAAAAAACCCCCCACCAAAACCATGGAAAAATCATTTCATTTTGAATGACTCAACAGAATCCAAGTTTTCTGGTCATTCTCAGCAACAGATTTAGTAGCTGCAACCTACAAGGAGGATGCACTGTGACAGGGTGAGTGTGTACCAAGGTAAATGACTTTTTCTTTATTCTGTCCTCTCTCTGAACACAGATAATATATTTCTGTACATATTTTCTCAATTGCACATTCTAAATAAGGACACTGCTTGATCACAGGACTACAACCTGTAGACTCTAGGATCAGAATAACTTCACGCTGTAGAGGTCAGGTTGGGTTATAACCATACAGGACACAGCAAACGCATTCATCAGCTATCTTCAAGTTAAAGTATAGTAAGACAGTGGGCCAGTTCATAACAAGACTTACTTGTCTGCTGCATGACATATTGTGCCACATGTGTCAGCCATATCATCAACAAGAATTGCTACTCGGTCTTTCACGTCACCAACCAAGACCATTCTGTCCACTTCATTTGCCTTCTTCCTTTCCTTATGAATGAGAGCAAATTCCACATTCAGTCTGTCAGCAATTGAAGTAACCCTAAGTTATAGGAAGAAATACACCACATTTAGAAAATTATTTTAAAAGAAAGAGCAGAGCCATAGTGTGCATTTGTCATAAACCCCAGTTTTTATGTTTCCTGGCTTTGAAACTACTGAAGCACAAACTAAGTGCCTGGATCTGAAACACACTTCAACTATGCACAAGCTTTTATTAAGCTGCTGCAATACCTAGTAACGGACACTAATTTAAAGTAGAGGTAGCCTCAATTCTAAACCTACAGCAGTGTGCACTGTAGCATTGCAGGAACGTCAAAACAAACCAAAGGGGGAAAAAAACCCAAAGAATTTAATAGTGATTAATATTCCCTTTAGCAGTACTTGATAGTAATCCAGTAGCTTACTTCATTAGTAACTCCAACAGCAGATAGCTGCTTGACAAAGATCTTTCAAAACTATTCGGGGTGACCTCTGGTGGCCAGACAAACCTCCAATGACAAAATCTGTTATAAACTTCTGGTTGCTTTTTTCAGGTTTTTTAACATACCAGAGCTGGTGGGTATAAAGACACAGGAGTAAACAATACTATGCTTTTTCTATGTTGGTGCAACCTTGTAGTTTGTCTTTTTAAAGGATGTTTAGAATGTTATCAACAAGGTTATTAACATACACAGCTAATAGAGCATACTGTTTTATTTCTTTACTACTTAAATATGAAGGTGTTGTTAGTTACAGTATTTCAACAACTGGGTGATAAACAAAAGCCCCAAGTTTTTTGGCATTTTTTCTGAATAATTGCATAGTTTCATAGCAAGACTCAATACCTCCATGAAATTAAGACATTAACAGAATTTGCATCCCTTATTTCAGTCACAAAATTTACTAAGCTAGAAAAACAAGCAAACAGTGTAAAAAAAATAATCAGATATTCAGGTATTTTAAATTACTGAAAGAACTTTTTTTTAATTTAATTCTTACAGATTTAAATTTTAAGACAAACTTTATTCACATTCTATTCACTTTTCATTAACCCAGATATTATCTTGAAGGTCTGCATGTTTTAAATGGAAAGGCCAAACCATTTTGCTTACATTACATTAATGGAGGTGAAGAAGCAGCTGTGAATTTATTGAAAACAACATCTTTTCCCACTTCAAAATTGCTTGGTTGCATTACAACAGAAAGATACCAAAGACAGACTCCATGTTAAATACAGGGAAAGTGGTCCTCAAAAAATAAAGTCATATGATCAAATTGGTAATATACAAATATTTGTTAGATGAAAAAAAATGTTATATTCTGATTTGAATTCTAAGCAAAGGCTGCATTTTGTTAAAAAACAAAAATTAAACAAAAACAAGAAGACAACCCAACAAAATCCCAAACAAAAACCTGAAAAAATACAGTATCCAGATAAGAATGAACAAAGAAATTTAACTGGCTGAATTATCTGGATTTTAGAATGTTTTCTATGATTTATATTCTTCACATCTTGATTCATCTAAACAGGAACAGCTATGGAATTCTAATCAGTCCTACTTCCCTATGAATTATTGCAACATGAACTTGGGAGACACTTTTTAGCAGGGCCTGTTGCAATAGGATGAGGAGAACTGGTTCTAAACTAAAAGAGGGAAGATTCAAGCTGGATGCAAGGAAGAAATTTTTTACAATGAGGGTGGTAAAGTACTGGCACAGGTTGCCCAGAGAGGTGTGGATATGCCACCTCTGGAGACATTCAGGGCCAGGTTGGATGTGGTTCTGGGCAACGTGATCTAGATGAAGTTGTCCCTGCAGGGTGCTTGGACTAGATGACATCCGAAGGTCCCTTCCAACCCAAACTATTCTATAATTCTATGAACACTCACAAGAGACCCAAAGACTTCAACTAAAATCAAATTATGACAGTGTTTCACATTTTTCCCCATACTACATCCAAACACTTAAACTACTGTGGGCTTACAGGATTCTTACTTCCTTTGTCTTTTGTTTGTAGAAGGAGCGTGACTAGTAACTTGAGAATAAGCATTTCACCTTAGTAGTATGCTTCATCACCTCACCAGCCAGCCTGATTCTTCATTAGTTTATACTCATTAGATTACCAAATAAAAGTCTGCAAAATGAGCAATGCACGCTGTAAATGAAGAAACACTCCAATGAACTATCCTTTCTATTTTCACCTTTTGCCACACAAAACTTCACTTCCTTTTTCTAGTATTCATAGTGCACAACTTGGGGTCAATAGGTTTACAGCTGGAATGCAGTAACAAAGGAAAAAAGAAACACGACTCAAGCAGCCTCTTACCTAAATGCCAGCAGGTACAGTGGGGATAGGCCATATGCTTTGACAGAGAAGAGAAACTTAGGCAATTCCAGAGCGAAGCAGGAAGAGGTGCAGCAACTGGACTAAAGAAGCAAGCAGCAGGAAAAACCTCTTCCCTCCTGTGGAGGGATTCAGCTAATGAGGCCACAGCCAGGGAGAGAGAAAAAGATTTTCTTTAGAGTATAGAAAGCTCCTGGATGTTTTCAAGCATGAACAACACTGGAAGAACTAGCTGCTGTTTTTACAATGCAGTTTGGATTGATCAGTGATGTATCATATGTCTTGCAGAACTGATAGAGGAATAAAGACAAACAACTTCATTAACCACTAGCTATACGGAAAACTAATATTTTTAGGCTTGTATAGTACCTTTTTGCACCACCTGCATCAGGTGAAACTATGATACAATTTCTCCACTCCACAATGTTCTCTTTAATCCACTGCAGCACTGCAGGTTCTGCATACAGGTTATCTACTGGAATGTCAAAGAAACCCTAGTCCAAAAGAGAAAGAGAATTTCATGAATATATGTTTATGTCTTACCTGGAATAAAAACACAGGGAAAGAATCAAGACTTTGCCTTTCAAGTATAGTAGGGCTTTAATTAGTATTTTGTACTGGCCTAATTCTGCACTCTGATATTAGTATCAAATGCAGCAGAAGTTAGACAAATATTAAGGTCTCTAAAAATCTTACCCAACAGTAGTGAAATGGGGGGTGGGGGTGGGGGAGGGTGGGGGTCAGAAAAGATGAGTGTTCGAAGGTGGTCAAGTAAATTCAAGTTAAGAAAAGCTCTCAAAAAATCCAGTGAGTAATATATAGCTTCCATAAATTTCAACTGCTTGACATGAAAGGTAGTATTTCAATATGGGCAAGATTCAAGTTAGTATTACTTGAACAGCAGAAATGGAATCTTCTACATTAACACATTTAATACACATTAATTCAGTAGAACCCCTAGCCACAGTTATGAAGAACTGATAGTTACCTGGATCTGAGAAGCATGCAAATCCATGGTGATGATGTGGTCAGCCCCTGCAACTGACAGCATGTTGGCAACAAGTTTTGCAGAGATCGGAGCACGACTCTGGGGAATAAAGCACAAATGTTTAAACTTAAACGATATTTCAACTAGATGCAAGGAGTCAGAAATTTAGCTACTTCTACTCTTTTTTTTCCTTTAGAATATTTGGAATCTAGATACTGGGAGCTCCAGAACTTTAGCCAAACTAGTCTATTAATAGTTGATTTTGCTACTGGGGTTTTGAAACTCACTAGAACATTTAAAAATATCTAAATCAGTTTGCACTGTCTGCCTAATAATGCTTTCTAGTAATTAGATTGACAAGCAGATAAATCAGAGATACAATTTTCCATTTCTTCTATTTAAAACTTTCAGGTAGCTTTTCTATAGCAGAAAGACAGATAATCTCCATTTCTCTAAGTCACTACCCTACATTAACATTTAACTCTCAAGCAGCTATAACTGTTTAAAAACATTTCCAAGCCCGAAGATTGAAGGCAGAGTGAACCCAACTTTTGAAAATACTTCTTTAAAAGAGTATCAAGCATTTCTTCATGATACAGTAAAGCTTGTAACAGACCCATGTTGGCAGCAGTCTTCTACCCCGTCCTATTTATTTATTCTTTTTTGCTAACTCAGGCTTAATTGTTGGAGGCAATTACAAGTCTAGAATTCCCAAAAGGGACAGGGGGCAAGGGGATGAAAAAAAAAAAAACCCAAACCAAAGCCAAAACAAAACAAGAAACCAAAAAAAACCCCCAACAAACTAAACAAAACAGAAAAGCAGAAAGAACAAAAAGACCACCAAAAATATATTTAGCAATGTTAATACCAATGCCAAGAGCCTTTTTAGAAGTGACAAGGATGCAGAACAAACAGCAACACTCAAAAAAAAAAAAAAAAACAAAAAAAAAAAGAGAAAATTGAAAATTGTGACTGGAAGATACTTCCCCTTTTTTTTTTTTTTATCAACTTTAAAGTTTTTTCAGATTTTTTCTTTTAAGCTCTGAAAACAGCTGTGTGGCTCTATGTTTTACAGTTTTACCTGACGGAAGTACTAAATGAAACCTCCTGTTCTCTTCTTGCTAATCTTTAAATAAGGCTAATAGCTGGCAACAACATTAGCATGAAGGCAGACCTGCAGTTCAGAGGTTCCATCTCATTGTCAGACTCCGTTTTCTGCTGGTATGGTATTCTCTCCTGCTACATCTCTTTATCAGTCTCATTTAGCCTCCTAGGAACCCCTTTTCCCTCCACCCCATACACACAACTACAGAGTATCTCTGCTTTCCTTCCATGATGCTCAAGGGCATAACCTAAAATAAGCTGAACCACTGCCAATTTAACCTGCATGCTTTTCTCTCTGTGTCATATCAGAGAGATATGAGTATTTTCCTCAAAACTTTTGTTAGTTCAGGTGGAAACTCAGCATTTCCATTTTAACCTGCAGATTGCCAACATAATTTCAAAAAAAGAAGTGAGATATTGCAGTCTTTCTCATGGCTGGATCAAGTTTATCACCATCAGGACAGAAATTCTTCATTTTGAAAAACATCCTTTTTGGTTTTTGTGTTTCATAGAACATCACCATCATTTGGTCTGTGTAAGATGCACTGAAGATATGCAACAACTAGCACTTCCCCAGATGTTTGCATTTCAGATGCATATAGCTTCCATAAGAGCTTCCTATCTTCAGAATGGATGATTTTCCAGGTACTAAGGACTATGCGGCTCCTCATTTAAGTTCAGTTCTGTAAGGTCAAGTTGGCCAAAGCTTTCTGGATATTTCTATTATTATTAGTAAACATTTGGTTCACGCCACTTAAATTCTTGATCACTTCAGCTCATTTTAGCAGTACAAACGGACATTTTTAAGCTGGTCTTTAAAATATTCTCAAATCTCTGGCAACATCTAATAAAACAAAGATACAGTTTCTACTTTTTTGATTCTACCACTATTCTTTTATTAGCTTTTTTCAAAGATCTGGTTTGATGCCAGAGCTAAACTGGACCAACTGGTGATACTGAAACCGTAAGTTGGCTCTCCTGCTTGTCCCATCCCTTCCTCCAAGACTATATACTTCCACCACTTCCCTTGTGCTGCGTGCTGGGACTTAACTGAACCCACAGCAGCCAGATGAGGCAGCTCAAATGGAAGGGAAAAGAAGATAGCAAACCAGGACCACCCTCTCCAGTAGAAACAAGTATCTACGTCAGGCTTGCTGCTAAAGGCAGATTACCTTCTTCCCAGAATGCAGCTTGCCATTTCCTCTCCATCCAGCATGCTGAACTTTGTTTCTATTTATTTTCTATTTCTCTTCAATATGAATATTGCTTATTTTGCCTCAAGTATCCATATCATGAGTATCACCATCACAAAACCAACCCAAAATACTTTCCTGCATCGAATACTAATGAATACGTTACCAGTTGGTACTTCTTTCAGTTGCTGGCCTTGCAGGCTGCCTTCCCAGAAGGAAGAACTTGAAGGTTTTACCACTAGGTAACTGGTTTTAGCAGATATGCACACATCACAGAATTCCTATGTGTTGGTGGACAGAGGGTCTTGGAAGGAAAGATAGCCAGACACCAACACCTGTTTCTCAAGAATGGGCTAATAGGAGATTAAGACAAATGAAGTTTGCAGCTATCCAGCAGTTTCTCTTCCACAAGATCTTGTATTAACAGAAAATACACACAATACATTCAAAGGATTTAAGATTTGATTGCTTGCATAGAAAATAAATTTTGTCCTACAGTATGATCCAAATTGAAGATTATTTTAAAATCAAAAGACCTATATTCATGGGAACCTCAGATTACCTAGCCTTGTTACTCAAAATTAGATGGCAAAGATATATAAGAACAAGAGTTTTTTTATCTTGGAGTTTGTGAAGTTTTCTTCCAATCAAAGAGGCAAGGACAGAGATTCACAGATTTTATTGTTCCATTCTTTGTCACAATTTAAGATTAGTTTCAGAATTATTAGTGTGAAACATAACATTACATTATGTACAAACACCAAATCGTAAAAAACAAAATCACCAAGTTTTTGGTTTCTAAGCAAATTCCCCACTTAGGTTTAACAAGTTATGTAAATGATTTCTCCCTTAGTGATGCATTAGTTGCAATTCTTAAAATTACCAGGGGTGGGGGAGAATCTACAAAGCTAATATGAACAACTTCACAAGAGTAACCATGCAAAGGACATACAGCTGAATGTAAAAATTGTCCATCAAGATTAAAGCTCTGTCGCCTTTAAACATCTTATTAAATTTTCTTGCTCAAAATGCATCTCATCCATACTGAACAAATAAAGTAAAAAAAAAAAAAAAATGTCCAAGAAGCCTCAGAGATTTATAACTGGAACTTTCACTTCCAAGAAAGCCAGTTGTGAAGTGTATGGATGCTGAATGTTCACTAATGTATTACCAAAACTTACCGTTTTAAAAAAATAAAAACACCCAAAAAAACAAAAAGAGATATGCTTTGATGCTTCAGAAGTTGACAGCCATTATCTTGAATGACAAGATAAATTTTTGCCTAGAGGCTAGCAGTTTTCCAGAAGCAAATTATTCCACAGAATTACTGTCATGGCCTAGGTGAAACACAACTGAAAACAAGAAGTGAAACTGAAAACGTTCCTAGTTATACATAATGTAAACAGTAAGTTTCACCCATTTTAAGGCCATATTAATGGAAATGCATAGCGTTAGATAAAAAAAAAAAAAAAAAAAAAAAAAAAAAGGATACCTACCCAACGCTCCACGGACCCCTTCTACAAATCAAAAAAACAAAGTTACATGAGCTGTAGAACACCAAACTCACCTGTCACTCTACTTCTAACTTATGTCAAAGGCATCTCTGCAGCATCCTACATAAATGTGTCCTGCCCATGGCTTGGAAGGTTAGCATAATTAGAGGATGCATAAATGCAGCTATGGCCAAAGCACAGATATACCCAAGCTATTTTTAAATTAGACAGCTTGTGTCTCGGAAGTATTCTAGTTTATGGCAGTACTTGATTGCATCTGAAATAAATTTACCAACTTTTCTACAGTTCCCAGTAAGCCTTTTTTTTTTTTTTAAAAACCTCTGTTTGTCATTAAAAGTTAGTTCAGGTTTAATGCAAAAATTTCCAGAGTAGATTACACAGATCTTGTTCAGAATATGATTTTTTTACTGCAAGGCCCTTTCCTTAGATAAACAATGAGCATTTTCATTGTTCTCGGCAATCATAGCTGCAACAGAGGGATGCAGAATACAAGGTTATTTCAAGCAGCAAGGACTCAGTCTATTTAGTTCTTTATGGATTAAACTCAACAACTTAAATTCAAACCAGAAAACAGCAACCAACTAGTGAAGATTATACTGCTTGACTTCATACTGCCAATATTTCAGGCAGCACACAAAACTTGTGCAGTCAACATGAGTCAAAGACCAAATGATGTGATGCAATCCAACAGCAAGCAGCAGGAAAGATCTCCCTGTCAATAAGCTGCCTAATGTTGACAGCTACATTATAGCTTATTTTGCAACATGGAGGTCAACTACCAAGGTTAATTTCCAAAGATGGCAAACATTTTCTCAATTGCAAAATAGGGGGTGGGTGGGAGAGGAGGGAAAAAGGCACGCCTAGAATTGCAGGAGAACACAGTGACACCCAGAGAACAGTCTGGTACAATGTTCAAAATCTGTTAATAAAAAAATCACTTTCATCAGCTATCTATCTTCCAGTGGCATTTCCAAAAGACAAAATGCTCTTGGATGGCATGCTTGGCTATCACACTGGGGGTTTTAAGTGTCTCTTAGAAGTCTGCCACATGGATTTGGGGTAACCTTGACAAGGCATAACCTAGGGGCATGGAAATCTTGAAACATTATGAGCTTTTTCCCCACACCAAGAGCTTATAGGATGGGCCAGCAGAACCTTCCAATGAATTTGGAAATCAAAGCCTGATGATGTGTTTTCCTTCCCTTTCAACAAAAGTTTTATTTCTTCCCTTTCAAGCTCTTTTGATAAAAAGCAGTATTTCAGCTCTCCTGATCAAGGGAGAGCATTATTAAATACAAAACACAGCAGAAATGAAGTTCTCAAAGATGTAAGCAAAGAAGAGGGAGCCTCTGTCTAACTCCTGAATTCTGCTTTGAAAGTATAAAAAGGTGGTCTTGATAATATTAGTATGGTATTAGAAAGCCTGCACTTAAAGAATGAGTATATCAGAAAATAACTTTTCTCTGTTTAGTTTTGTTGTCAGACATCACCAGCTGAGCATTACATATTTTGTAATATCTGCTATTATTTTTAGCTCCTGCATTACTTTTCAGTACTGTTATGTTTTTATAGAAAAGAGCATAAAGAACAAGAGAAGGCTTTCAGGATGCTCTGCTTGATGTCCAAAGTGAAAAGGAGGGGGCTATGTACAGGAAGTATTGGATAGGTGCAATTTTCCAAAAAGGCAAACTGCTGCAATCCTATCTTAAAAGCCAAATTCACATTTATTCTTTTAAGTTCTTTTCAAGTGAGATTAGGCAAAAGGAACATTCACACAACATACTAGAAGTTTTCTGTGTATATATACATCTAGATATAGATATATAGAGAGAGAGATAAAAAGAAGTTTAGTTCTGTATTTTTTAAAACCAAACTCACTTGCCACAGAGTTTATTACTATGTTATCAACTTGGCTGAACTAATATAGTCATCAGTTATGGCAGACCAAATTCAGGAAAAGGGCACTAAGATCAGAAGAATATTTATGGGGCTTACATACAATTTGTGGTCTGCATCAATAAAAATAATTATTCAATTTTTTTTTACCTGCCTTGCAGAAAAAAAAAAAAGTTTTTTATTAATTACTGTTATGCATTGCAGATTTAATCAGTTCCTTCCAGCTGGCTTCTGTTTAACCATATAGCATAAACCCCATCTAGATAATTATTATAGCACTTCAAATTAAGGATTTAATCCCATGCAATTAAAATGTCTAAAAAAATTAAAAATGTGTGCTCTTTTCATATATAGAGGTTAGAAAAGCCCCAAAACAAACTAGAAAAAGCAAGAAAAACAATTATATAAAGTGAGTTTTGCTAGCAGAGTACTCTGCAATATATCACACACAGGATGTACCCACATTTTCAAACTGAAGCCATATCAATTATTAAAACACAAGAAAAAAAAAATTTAACTTGTCTCAGTTCATTTACCTATACATGAAATAATTTAACATTTTACCAAAACGGATGAAAAAGCCAAGTAAATCTTTCAAATCACTTAAATGTTCATGAAAATAGGTTTCATCTCCAAAAAAATTTCAAGTGAGCAAGCTGAAAAAAAGCATTCCAAAATGACACAGTTCTTGCCTACCTTATCTTTCTTATCTTGCCTGGCATAAGGAAAACATGGAATTACAGCAGTCACTCTGGAGGATGATGCAATCTTGCAAGCATTGATCATGATAAGCAGTTCCATTAAGTTGTCATTTATTTCTCCACAGCCACTCTGGATGATATACACATCTTCTCCTCTCACACTTTCACCAATTTCTACACTGAAAGAGCAGGAGATGACCATTTAAATACTTGAATTACTGGAAAAACATTATTAAAGAACAGGAAAAAAAAGAGAGTTTTATATGAACAAACTTCCATAGGTTTATCCCCATTTAAAGTAACCTTTTTTTACAGCAATTTGGATAACTGTCTCCTTGATACAATGTTTATTTCAATATATGCCAGTCTAAAATTTACTTCAGCCTAAATATGGTCTTCATAAGGTCAGCACCAACCGACATGTAATTTATGGCTATAGTACTGATGCAGCTCACATAGTTATTAAATTTGATACTGCCTTTTTTTTGTTGTTGTTTTGTCTGTATATTCTGTGTGCTTGCCATCTCCCAAGATGACCATTTAAAGAATAACCTAGAAAGTACAGAAATAGGGCCAGCTTTAAAGTATTAAATGCTACCTGCATCAAAATATCTCCTTAAAAAGGACACTTATTTTTCTGTTATAATTAAGATGTTGCTAAATTCAAGAAACTACTGCATTTTACAAGAGAGGAGTATCAACTATACCTCAAAACCAGAAGTCTAGTTGAAATGTATACCATGATGTCCAAGTAAATTACTTTAAAAAAAAAATTAGAGAAAATCTAAAAGGTATGCTCATCAACAGCTCACCATGACTCAACCACTCTTACATTGCATCAGTTGTTCTATTTGCTCTAACTGTGCTTACATACTGCGGTTCCTTATGATAGTATCTAAAAGTTATTTTGCTGTTCTACAGATTTCAAGGCAAATTCTGGCACTGTTCCTGCTCACACCACAGAAATAAAAAATTAAATAGACCTTATAAATAAACAGGAAAAATAAAACAAATCTGTTGAATACAGATTCTTTTTCAATTCTAGACCCAAGTAAGATAAATCAGCTGTTGAACCACACTAGCTTTTCACACATGCTACTCCAAAAGTTACACAAACCCAGCAGGCTAATCTTCATTTTTTTCCTCTGAATCCACGCACAATGTACAAGAAACATAGAGACTTCCTAAACAATGAGACAATCAGACCTCTCAAACCCATGCTCCACTAAGTTGGTCTTAATAATTAAATGCTAAAATATCTTGGGCCTCTATTTAAAAGGTTGCATCTTTACCCAAGACACAAATAAGCAAAAGCTTCTAGCTGGAAACTATCCAAATGGCCCAGATGTGGGTAGAATAATTTCTCTGATTATTCACAGTCCTTCAGTGCTGAGGCCTGTTCTAGGCAAACACAGTCTGAACAACTTTTGTTTACCAGCTTTCAGGGTGCTGTGTAAGACTCATTAACTTTCAAAAACACTAAGCTAGAAAACAGAAAGGAATTTACTGCTTAAAAACATCTTAATGATATGCAAACATTTGATTTATTACCATCAAGATAGTTAAGTCCATGCTCCCATCTCCCTTATTTGACTCCTCTGCAGTCCCAAACAGGCCATAAAAAGATCCTGTCTTTATTTTTGTCCTTAATTGAATATATTTTTTGCCTAAGAATGCAAGTTTTCTTAAGGCCAAAATAAAGCAAACAATCTAGCAAACACCAGGAAGGACAGAGGTGGTCAGGGACAGTGCCATCTACAGATACGTCTGTGTTAATCCAGGAAACCTTTTGGAGGTTTCCATCTTGGCAAAGACATAATTTTTTGGTCATGGAACTGTTACTTCCCTGTTCAATTTTCTGATCAACAGAATAGCACTGTTCAGAGAAAACTGTTTTGATCAAAATATATTCTTTGTTTGTTTTCCTTATTGAAGCTGAAAAAGTTTTGGTCAACATAACTTCAGTTCAGCAAGACATGAAATATATTCCATGATTGGAATACACTGGTCAGGCTTAATTAGAAACCCTCCCAAAATCAGGTCTGTTATTAGAATATCAGAGGTCCGCTTCCCAGAAGAATAAACAAAGCCAGATAAATAAATAGAGAAACCTGACATTGTTTCTGATCACACAAATCCAGCTTCAAGTTAAGCATCTACCCACTAGCTTATGGAGACAGCCTCAATCATCATTATAGATTCATGGTTATTACTATGAGGGCTCTGAAAAATTGTAATTGTCACTTGACTCAGACCAGCTTAATAACAAGTGTTGTCACATACCACATCTTAGGAATAGGTACAAAGACGACCACCACCAGATGCAAAAGCTCCATAACACCTCTCTCAACAAAAGACTGTAAAGTCACTCTCCAGTTCTGGAAATTAACTTAGAATCCATTACAAAGAAGAGAAAGTAGAAAAAGACTAAGGGAAAAAAAAATTAATTTTCAGGGGAGAATGTTATTGGAGTGACAAAAAAGGGCAGAATAAGATCTTAGTATCTAGAGGAAAAGAAACCAACCCAACCATTAGCTTCATAGACACATTATGTAACAGGAAAACTTTGCTGAATGACAATAATACGTGATCTTACTGTTATATACACAAAGAACACAGAATTATAACACTCAGAATTGTTTTGCTCCTTTAAAAACCCAGTCATTTCTAAGCATGCTGCTAAGAAATATCAGGTTTTTAGAAGGTCGGGGAATATACTTTGACATAAATATAGATCTGGTTAGTACAATGGACCTGAAAGGATGTTTCTTCCATTGCCATTAACTATTATCTTTTCAATGACCTTGGGCTAGCAATAACTTTTTCATCTTGTAAAAGAATTTCGAAAATGAAAATGCTTTTACTTTCTCTCTTGGTGCATTTGAAAAAATTTTGGTTATGCATTTCAGAGTGACATACTAGTTTGGCACACAGAATTGTGGATGGATGTATGTATGTAGTTAGAAATATCTTTTCCAGTGGACACAGAAGTTATGTGCAGACTAAAATAAATCACTCTTGAATTAATACTCGCATAGCACTCAGGAATAACCCAGCTAAAGGTGTCAGAGAATAGTGTAATGTACTTATTGCAAAAAGATCTTCTCCCAATCAACTGGAGACAGCTGTGCAAGAGATCCATGTTCTCTTATTGTGAACCTTCTCTCAAAGGTTGGTTTTGAGAGGTATTATGTAGACTCAACCAGTGACACAGAGCTGCTTATTTTACCTTCATCAAGCTACACAGTAAAAGATAACCAGTCATTGTGTAGCAAGTATTCCTTCAGACATAGCCCATACTAAGCACATTGGAACTTTTTTGGATGTTTGTTGTTGTGGGGTTGCCGTTTCTTTGTTTTGGGAAGGGTGGTTTGGGTTTGGGGCTTTGTCGTACCCTCTTTTTTTTTCTCCATATATTCAGCTATGAACAGACAACCAATGAAGGACTATGAACTACACTATCAGTTATCTGACACACTGTGCCTCAAATAACTCTTAAAGCTCACTAACCTAGCAGCAGTCAAACTTTTTGACAGTTATTAACATTACTACTAAATTCCATTTGGAACATCAGTATTGTGACCTAATTAGCTGTTTGAAGGGGTTATTTAAACAATTTCACATAGTGAGGACACAGAGAAAGGACACAAGAACAAGCTCTTGCCTCAAGATCATGAGCTCTGTTTGTTTTATGCAATTTTAATCAAAATCAGCTATTTGGTAACACTCAGTTTAAATAAACTCATTCAAGAAGAGTAAACAGAACCCGTACATTAAAAGCTCTGACATGACACAATTGTGCTTTAAAGTAAAAATTATAGAAACCAATAGCCCAAAGTAATAATTAATTTTATTTGAGCCAGTTGCTTTGAATTCCCAAGTATAAGGCTCCAGCTAGGAAAGATACACACAAGACAGCACATGATGAAAACCAAGTTTGAGTGTTGGTGTCTGCCTTCATCTTTCAAAGGCTGATTTCAGAGTTCAATTTAACAAGTAGAAAACTTGGATAGACTAATTGCCATGAAACTAAGGATAAGGCTCAAAACCCACTTATGTTACAAACCTATCTCAAGAACTGAAGCATCCATTAAGCAAAATTCAAAATCAGAAGTAACAGCAGGCTGAGCTCCTTCTAAGGCAGATTTATAGTACACTCCCAACAAAGCGTACATTGCTTACAGCAATGGGAATTTTAAAAACAATAACCAGTTGTGGGGAAGCAGGAAAATAAGTATGCAGAGCCAGACTAAAATGGTGAATAATGTAATTCCGTAACTAGAATCCTGTTCAAATCATGCATTTAAAAAGGCTCTAGGTACCTTTTAAAATAATTGCAACAGATTAAGTTTCTGGCCATGGTTACAAAAAGTAAGACTCCTCAAGCAATTTAGGTGCCAATAAAGTACGTGTGTACTTCAGGCACTTTTAATAATGAGAGAAGAGGCTGAAATTTAAAGTCAAGAGTCCTTATATTATGTGCAAAAAGAATCAGTATCTCAGAAGTGATAAAAAAATCCACATGCTGAATTTGCAACTCATTGAAACCCAGCCAATGAAAGGCACTAAGCAATGGTGTGTGTTTGACCCCATGCCTTTGGGAATGTATTTTGCAGAGTAAAGTCTTTTAGCACAAAACCTCCAACTTACTGAGCAAATAAATATATATAATAAAGTGGGTACCAGTAAAGCCAAAAGCAACAAACAAAAATGCCAGAGCTGGTTTTAAGTTTATAGGAATCCTGAACCTCCCAGCACCCATGGTCTCCTCACAGCTCCATTTTAAGAGCTCCAAGACCTATTCCCATCTAGATCTTCACTGACAACTGCCCAATCCTAATGGTGGGCACTGACATGGTAAGCACTCTAAGATGGGAAACGTTGTCTTACCCTCCACTCTGGCACACAGCTTGCCACCACAGTAGGAAAACAGCTTCACTCAAACACCTCTGGGTTGAGCTATATGCAGTCTGAAAGGAACCCTCAGAAAATTTGGAAATAAAGGTCTAACAAGCCTGAAGACATGCCGAGAGTCTTCAAAGGCTGACTACCAAACTGTGCAGTTAAGGACGTGTGGGACATGTCAGCATCACTCACACTGGTCATTTTTTGTTTTTACATTTCAAGCATTTAGCGTTTATTTAAAGACAAAAAGTGCACAGGTTAAAGTGAAAGT